TTGACTCAATGATGGAAATCAGTTGTGAGAGCTTTTGGTGTGGTTGTTGATACTTAATGGTCACCCTGCAGTGTTAAAACAGGCAGATAGAGAACTGTCTTCTTAATTAGAGATTTTTATAAGATAGAAGCTGCAAGATAAAAATCCTCCGCTAATAGCACAGTAATCAGAAAGAATTATAAAGCTAAAATTATCCTTTTTGCTATAGGAGAGAAGACAGAGAGCCAGGAAAACATTCCAGAGTCTGTAGTTGCCATTTCAGAGAAGGAAAAAAAAGTAATGGTCCTGAGATTTTCAAGAGGAACCAAGACAAACTTTTCCCTGCAGAAGAAGCAAAGCCAAAAAAGAAAAAAATCGAATCACAACAGACCCTACAAGAAATGATAGAAGCTGCAAGGAAGAAAGAAGAACTTGAACAAGGCACCTCTGGCAGTGTGGAGAGACTTGAATCAACAAGAAAAGAAGTTATACTGGAAGCAGAGTTGGAGCAGGCAAAAAGGGAAATGATTGATCAAAGAGAAAAAAATGACTATGTGCAAAAACATTACACAGTTTCGACAATGAGTGAGGAGGTTTTGAAGATGGAAACTGGGCTGCCAACAAAGGAAGTTTTTCAAATTGTTGTCAACTATGCAGCTAGGTTTAAACAATCCATCAATTACTTTGCTGGCTGGAGAGTGCAATCAATCAGTTTTTAAGAACAAATATTTATAACATTAATGAAAGTCAGACAGAATTACACAAATCTTCACCTTGCACAGTTATTCAATTGCAGTGTATCTACAAGAGCAAATATTGTAACAACTTTCATTCATCATTCTTACACTCAATTCTATTTATTGACCTCATGGCATCCATCCCATCCAGGGATAAGAACAAGCTATGTGCCCCATCATCTTTTAGTCAGTTTGGTTCATGTAGAGTAGTGATAGATTGTACAGATAATTATAGAGATTGCCACACCTGGGCTTATGAGCCAGCAGAATGCTACGTATTCAAATTATAGGGGAATGCATTCCTTCAAGGTTATTGTGGGTGTAGCGCCAAATGGTGTTATTACTTATGTCAGCAAACTTAAAGTATCCAGGGTCAATATCTGACAAAGCAATTGTGCAGAAATCAGGATTTTTAAATCACCTTACTGCTGGAGATATGGTCTTAGCAGACAAAGGTTTTGTTATACAGGATCTTGTACCAAATGGTGTTTCAGTAAATATACCACCTTTTTTAAACAATGGTACATTCACTGAGAGTGTAGCGAGGGCAACAAAAGTTATAGCAAAATGCAGAATTCATGTTGAGAGGGCAAATGCTAGGCTTAAAGATTTCAAGATTTTAACTTTTATTCCCCCATATTTACGTTGTCATGCAGATATCATATTTCAACTCTGTGCTTCACTTGTTAATCTGCAGTTTCCACCGATCAAAGAGGGCTGTGAAGGATATGAATTTGATTAATGAACTAATTATTTTTCATATAAGGAAAATTGAATACTTTGTAAAATACATGTTGATCTGTTTGTTTTATTCAAAAAGCAAATCTGCTATCATTGTTGAATTTATGGATGCATGTATAATTTCAGCCCAACAACAGCTCACTACAACGGAGCAGTACAGCTCAACTGTAAAACAATGAAGTGCAAAAACTGTAACATATGTGCAAATATTTCAAGCAGAGGTTTCTAAAGTTAGTTTGAGTAAACCAGGAGAGCCCTGTTGGGATTTGAAGATCTGTGTTAATTTCCTAAAGTTACTAGAGTGAACTTAAAAGTAAACCTGAGCTCCCAATACCCTCCATCTGAAAGGCCTCCCTATCTCAAGAAATTCCACAACAACATGCCATCAGTGAAGACTAAACACCAAAGGGCTCCTAATGATTCCTGAAAATTATTATTTCTTAATTGGTAATTAAGATAAAAGTTCAAACAAGGTGAACTCATAAATGTCTTAGTAACACTATTTCATGTGAATCATAATCTGTACGATTTAAGCCTCAGCCTGGCTTTTTTGATGAGGGAAATCGACAAGATCGAAAATATATATTTCTAAATTGGGGGAGTAGATAACGAGAAGGTACTTAAAAGATATTTAAAAATATTCCTTAGGCTTCTCAATGCGATTGGTGGCTCTAAACTCGATAGACCTTTTTCTTCATACTTCCTTGAACCTCACCGTGTAAAACACCTTGATGGTAAGAAAATGACTCAATGTGTTCAGATCTGTAATGATTTTCTCCTCATTCGATTGACTTCTTTTCTTCAGTGAAGAAAGATATCAGTGCAGCGATTGAAAGCGACGCCATTTTGGCTCTGAGCACGTTTGTTTAGAACAGAAAATTCTGCTCCCATGGTAACGTGACGTAACGGCTTTAGAACTCTATTCTAAATGTTATTTACAAGAAGTCATGTTTAAATGATGATACAGTTATTATTTACCATTTATTTGTGAATGTTGTTCAGGTTCACAACCTTATGAGAAACTGACAGAGGTACTTACAAAAGGCACACTGTTAAAGGATATCAAGCAGATGTCTGGAGCACATGCCACCTCATCACTTGAGGCCTTTCATTCAGTACCAAACCACTTTGCTACAAAACGTTTGGCTTTCTCCTACCATGGAATGACCAGCAGGTAATTGTTGAAAACAACATGAAATGTATGACTTGGGCATGTGAAAAAGAGACTCTGCAGAAGCAGATGCAGAGAACAATCAAAGCTGCCCTCATTTAAAAACAAATTTCATCAACATCGTGTTCTCACATTTAATCTCAATATTCTGCATAATTCATTTTCAGGTTGCAGATTTCCATCTTACATTTCAATGAGAACAGCGATCGGGAATGTGCTAAACTACAGGATGGTACTGAGCGTGTAAACATTGCTTTCCCCAAATACAAGAAGGGGGAACATACAATAAAAAAGCTCTTAGTTCAATGCACATAATTAGTAAGTGAAGATAACATTTGTAAGGAAACATTTCATGTAGATTAATTTAAAAAATGACCAACAATAGCTGTTATTACGTCTGAGCCAGCGATTCAGCAGTCATCACACGGGAACGAGGCTATTGGGTCAAGAAATGTTTCAAGAACTAAATCATAGGAAAGATATGGAAACCCACGAGGAATCACAGCCGAAATATGCTTTTTTTTCGGCTGAAGAGAAACTACAGTTGTTGAATGGTAATTGTCCCCGAAACATTACTAAACAGGTCTTAAGATCATGGTTGTCCTATCGAGTAGGAACCTCAAAAAACGGGAGTGCTTCTGCGGATGGAAACAAACGAGAACTGGTTCAAAGGTACGTAAAAATAATTAAAATATCATTGATATTTTGAGGATAGTTTTAGACGGTAATTAAAACCATCTTTGTTTTTCAGGGTCGTAAGCTATATTAAGAATGGCTGGGACGCGAATTTTACTGAAAAATGGATGCATCTGTCAGGAGAATCGAACGAGAACTTAAAGGAAAATTCGGCAAATGCTAACGAGGAGCCAACAGGGAAAGATATACAAAATTTCCTGCCTTCAACAACGTGGACCGAATTGAAAAAATGCAACAAACTGCCAGAGTTTTCTATTGCAAATATGATGAGCTACTTTATTACTAGGCGTGCAAGAGACGATGAAAGTAATAAAGACTATAAAAGCTTAAACTGCAAAGCTTTTGGTCTTTTCAGACATGGTCACGTCCAGAATATTAAGGTTGCGAATGAGGATGGCAAGTATTTTATCCAATGCGAATGCTTACCTGAGATGAAAAAAACTCTAAAATATAAGATCCAAATGACAGTAGACAGTTCTGGTGATATAATATATGGAAACTGTAATCCTTGTCCAGCTGGTAAGCCACCACTTGCATCATGTAAACATTTGGCAGCTCTATGCTTTGCTCTTGAAGAGTACATTAGACTTGGTCGTAGTCAAGAATTTCTTACCTGTACAGAAAGATTGCAGACTTGGAATCAACCACGAAAGCGAAAGCTGGAGGCACTCTCAGTATACGACATTGATTTCAGTAGAAAAGTTTTTGGCACAGAGAATTTAAAACACAATAAAGCACTGCACGATCCAAGACTTTGCATCTATAGAGAACCAAGTACAGAGAAGGCAAATCAGACCTTGCTTCAAGAAATCTCGAGAGAAAGTCTAAATTGTGGATTTTACTCTATTTTATCAAAAGAGCCACTATGTCCAAGTAGTTTAATTGTCTCACCCATAAAGGAACAACCAATGTCATTGGAAGAAATACATGCAAAAGCTAAAAGAATTAAGTCAAATCTTTTTGTAGGAGAAAAAGAAAGAGAATTGATAAGCAGAGCAACAAAAAATCAAAGTGATTGTCAAAAGTGGTTTGAACACAGGAAAACAAGAATTACTGCATCGAAATGCAAGAGAGTACTTCAGAGACCAGACACAAGCCCCACTAAGGCTGTAAAAGAAATTCTACATCTCAATGACAATTTTCAGAGTAATTACATGAAACAAGGTCTTACTGATGAAGCTAATATTATCAAGTCATATGAAAACCTCTTCAAGTGCAACGTCTCTAAACTAGGGTTTGTCATTTCATCTACACATCCATTTTTGGGTGCAAGTCCTGATGGTGAAGTTGATAACAAATGTTTGGTGGAAGTCAAGAGAGTTTTTCCTGGAACAAAAAAACTGGCAGAAGCAGTTTGCAGCAGGGGAATTTGCAAGAGGACTGTTCATGGCCTGCTTATTAACACAAATCACCCATACCATTTTCAAGTTCAACAACAACTATTTTGTGTTGGTTTACAGTGGGCTGATCTGGTGATATCAGATCTAAAGGAAATGATCATAATAAGCATCAAAAATAATTTACAATTTAGAAGAGAAGTTATCCCAAAGCTTGAAAGTTTTTATGATAACTATATTGCTGTAGAACTTGCTTATCCACGGTTAACTTTAGGTCTTCCCAGGCTTGGAAAAGTATCAAGATTAATGTAACAGTGTACTTCAGTCTTTGTTAGAACTC